TATATATATATAACAAGGCTTGTTATATATATATAACAAGGCTTGTTATATATATATAACAAGGCTTGTTATATATATATAACAAGGCTTGTTATATATATATAACAAGGCAGGGTTTACTGAGCAAACATCAGGGTTTACTGAGCAAACATCAGTAGGTTGATACAAAAAAAAACAGTTTTTGAGACAAATGTTCACAGTATTTACACATACTAACTCTAAATACGCATATATTGTACAAAGTAACTTACTTGTTACACTGTTATAAAAATAAACAATAAACATACAAACAACTATTCAAATATTCATAAAATAAAAATAAAAGTAAAAACTGGCTTCATTCACAAGAATGGTGCGCTCAGAAACTCCATGAAACTAACGTTACCTTTCTTCACAAGAAGCCGATTCCTCAACCTCTTCTCGGGTCTCAAAATCATCCTGGAACCTCCGTGGTGGTTTGACTCTTGAAGGACATCATCCAGACATTATTCTAACAAAATATTTCCTCTCCACTCTGAAAAAAACACGCTGTCGCTCGTAACTTTCCACTACACTCTGCACCGAGCGTCTTTGGAGGAGGGTAAACAAAGACGTTGCTTCGCGGACTTACAGCAGCTAGTCACGTGATATTACTGTAAAACCCCATATATCAGCGAAAAGCCAAGATTCTTGGCTTTCAGGAACCGTTGGAATTTTTCAGATTGCACAAATGTTTGAGAACTTATGGTGTTTAAAAAAATGACAAAATGTGTCGGCGCCAACACGCTCAGTGTAAGAGGGTTAAAACACCAATCGAAAACCCTTAAGGATCCCGGACAAGCCCCCATTAAGTTACAACCCATAAGCTCAAAGGAAAGTAAAACAATGTCCGTGTCTCAATTCAGTGGCTGCATCCTCATGAGTGTGTGGCTGCATACATCACTGCCTCACGCCGAGTGCTGTCAGGGTCGAAGGCTCCTCATCATGCAGCCAAAGGATGTGGCCCAAAGAATTTCAAAAATCAAGGATCCTTCCTGGGATATCCTTCACCAGCCGAGGATATCCCAGGATCCAATGCGCCGACAGCAAACTAAACAGAGAAATGAAGACGGTGGAGTTTTTATTTTTATTTTGCCAAGTCGGTGTAATTTGGAAATTCATCACGGACTGAAGGATTTGTTTTTAAATGTAAGTTTAAAAAGCTTAGCTGATGACATTCATGCTGCAATAAGATGTTTAATAAAATACTACAAGTACTGATACTGGAGCTAAACTCAAAACATTCATGTTTTTCTTTTTTTTTATTTACATGTAACGTTTTAACTGTGAAGTTATCCTTACAGTGAAAAGACGTAAACAGAGTTGTAAAGTAACTAAGTACAAAAACTTTGTTACTGTACTTAAGTAGAATTTCTGTGTATCTGTACTTTACTTAAGTAATTATTTTTAAGTAATTATTTTTAAGCCTACTTTTTACTTCTACTTCCTACATTTTCACACAGTTATCTGTACTTTCTACTCCTTACATTTAAAAAAAAAAAGCAGTTTTATGCAGCCTACCTGGACTGGGAAGGATGTGGCCCACGTGGCCCAGGTGGGCTAAGTACTCATGAGGTGCAGCCCATGAATTGAGACAAAGCTGATGAGACAAGACAAAATGGTGGAGTTTACTAGAAAGGTTTTATTAAAACTAAAAGGCAAATTTCTTAGAGAACACCCAATTAAGTAAATTAAATAGAGACACTATCATGACTTTTCTTGGTCAGCGAGAGCGGCCATATTGTTCAGGGCAAGGACAACTCAACAGACATTACTTTTGGACTGTAACATATTGAATGAAGTATCAATACTGGTATTGATTTGGTATCGGTACCAAAAACAAGTATTTTGGAGCTCTGGTAGACCCTTCGGTATGACCACATTCTTACGGTTGCCTCTTTTTTTATGTTTTAACTTTGTTCTTTCGTCCCCAGGTGTTGCGGACCCCTTGGAGCAGCAGCCGAGGACACGCCGCCCACCACCCACAACACACCCATCACCGCGGGCACCACCACTCCCACAGCGACAGCCGACACAATCGGCACCACGGCAGTCGGGCGCCGGAGGGGATCCACCTGCGCAGCTGCGGCGACCTGAGCTCCTCCTCGGCGGCGTCGCTGCGTCAGTTAGTGCCGGCCCACCACGGGTCGTCCGGAGCGCTCTACTCCGAGTCTGCACTGTGAGGACTGGGTGTGGGGGGGGACAGATGTTCTGAACAGACGGGGTTCCCTCTGCGTCGCTCCCATTAGCTGAAGCCCTCTGTGCACACGGCCTTACTTTATGGTGCTCCTCGTTAACCCGACATCAGCCCAGACGTCCCTCATAATGACTCAGCAAAAAGACAATTCAGAGACGATAACCATTCAGAGCACAGCAAAACTGTGGACTGCGTCGTGCTTTTGGTTCTTCTCATCCACCAGATCGCAAAGGAGGCAGTCCTGATTCTGTCTTCCATTCATAAAACATATAAAAGCACCAGTGAACATGAGGACAGTTCAGGAAAAGATGAAGTAATGTAGAAAACCCCTCTTCTGTATTTATTTAATCATTTATTTTTGGCTGGGGGTTGTTTTAGTTTTCACCTACATGAAGACCACCACAGACACGCACTCGGTGTTTGAAACGACGGCTTGATTTGAGCGTGTGCATGTGTGGTTTTTTTGTTTGTTTTGTTTTTTTGCTGCAGCAGGAATCGTGTGTACTCGATTCTGCCTGTTTGTGTAACTAAGTAACAAGTTCTTAGAATGTCTTTATCTGCATGTTTGCTTCTTATTTTTTACTTTTTTGGCTCGCAGGAGAGTGACCACTTGATCCGACCAGGTCAGGGACGGAGTTCACACACACACACACACACACACACACACACACACACACACACACACACAC